GATGAAACAATCTCCTGCATGGACAGCTTGTCAGTATAAAACCCCACGATAACATTCAGAGACTTGAAAATTGGCTGAAATGAATTCTTCGACTTTTTCTGATAGCAAGTTTCCTCTGAAAGTTTTTGGGGTCAATCGAATAAAAGGTGGTCGTGACTATAAAGCGTGACTAATCTGTACATTCACGCTTTTCACAAAAACATTTCTGTGGTACGGAAACTATATTTCAACCACACTGACAGACGTAAAAAAAACTGTAAAGAGTTAAAAACTAAACTGGTTTTTGATCATATGGACTGGTTACGTTTCAGAGGTTTTAAAGTTTTTGAAAGCGATTGCATTCAGATAATCGAAACGTGAGTATTTGGGCTGTGTATTCAATTTCCATAATATTTTAATCTGGTCAATGTACAACTGAAAATTAATTCCACAACACTTGGTGGCAACAAACAACGAGCAATTACATAAGACTTCAGGTTTTAGTAGTTTTTCATATGAACGTAATTCAGACTAAATGGGGCTTCACAATCTTTCACGACGCCGCCACAAAATGCGTAAATTAACATGTAGGAATAGTGGCGCTGATGGGATGTGTTTACAATCAGTACAATTCGACATAATATTTGAGATGATGCACTACGCGTGATAAAATTCTTAGAATTGGAATAAAAATAAAACCAATAACAAAGCTTTTTTCGTAGTATTGTGTGGCAGTATAACAAAATAACTTGGCCCATATTCGGCAACAAATTTCCAGTTAAAATATTTTTCATTTTGGCAGAAATGCCTGGTCAGAGTGTCCGATCAGGCTGAGCTCTTACCTGTCAAAACCTCAAATTTACCGGACAATTGTCTGATGACCGACTGTTATTTGCAGGCTTGCATTTTACTCATGACTGCGATTATTCAAAATTCGCTAGTCAGTAAGTATATTAGAACTCCATAGTTCAAGATGTTGGTGAAAGTCAAATTACCATTGCCAGCCAGCAAACAAGAGTTGTATTTAGGCATAAATAAGATTTTCAACTTTATATCCCATTTGAGTAACTGTAGAATATTGCAGGATACTCAACAATCATGGTCCACTTCAGTTACTTATAAAGTAAAATGAGACGTGGAGATACAAGTTATCAACCACTCTCATTCAATGAGATGTGAATAAGTAGTAGGATATAATTTCTGCAGTTCACCTATCCCACTAATTCCAAGGCTCAGTCTCCAGCAGACTCTAGGAAGCCTGACAGTGTTGTCAAACTTATTACTTTCTAGTTCTAATACGTATGGGTTATTGACCAAGTGTGTGAGGTCAAGATGGCTGGATATTAAACAAGTTCTTTTTTTGTGTGTTTATGGGCCGAGACGAAGTCGAGGTCCATAAAAATGCAAAAAAAGAATGAGGCCAATATCCAGCCATCTTGATCGAACAGGCTTGGTCAATAAAGGATTTATTATATGGCTTTCGGGGAAATTTTTCTTGCAGAACAGGGCGGGTAGTCCCAAGTGGGCAAGATAGTTCCATCTTGCCCGCTCAGGTAGCCAATCACAGCACTGGATTTGATTCATCTTGCCCGCTCATAGAGCTGGCCATATAATAAAATGTGATAATACTTACTTATCACATAAAAAATTTCCATTAACATTCTGGCCGTACTTCGTTCTAAGTTTATTACACATGTACAAACCACCGAAGGAACACCAAAAACAACAATAAATTTAAAAACACCGACAAAGCTCACGAAAGTCAAAATGCTGAAAGCTCCAAAACGGAGATATTCATTTTAGCTAATAGTTTAACTAAAAAGAGCATCTTTGAATATTTTCAATGTTCAACGAAGATTATTTAATGGCAAAGTATCGTCTGTAAGTAAAGAGAGGTAAAAACTATACTAGTGAAGTGTTGTAATGAAATAAGTCGAGGGTTCGACGGAAAATTTATCAAAACATCAAACTAGCGCAATATATCCGTACGGAATTAAAAGATGCCAGAGAAATCGACGGATTGTTTCACAACACTGACCTTACAACCAAAGCTTCACCACAACGCAAGGAAAGAGGACGAGAAGAGAAGAACAAGGGGCATTGTGGGGTATCTTGTGGTGGTCAGCGGTATTTTTCATCGACAGAAAAAAAATTCAAGAATACATGTGCGAGAACTTGTTCGAGAATTTAGTTTAATATATCTGTTTTTAGCGTAGAATGTCTGTACAAAAGTTAAAGAAATCTCCGAGAGATGTCGCTGCAGCAAACGGATCAGTGTCTGCGACAGTGAAGAAAGCTTTCAAGACGAATTCTAATTGG